CAGCCTGATCTGCAGTCATGGGCATCCCAGAACCTGTGCATGGAAATCGAGCACAAAATCAGTGCAGCTCCACTGAGTGTCATGCAGCCAGCCTTGAGAGTACTCCAAAATTTTCATCAGCGTGTTGTCATGGGCACGGCAAAGTACCTGCTGCTGACTGCAGGGAGTGAGAGCACTCAGCTCAGCTTCACCCACTGTTGGTAGGAGTTGCCCCGCTTGCACTCAGACGTGCTAAGGAGAAGCAATGTGTGCTAATTGTTTTACTTAAAGTTTTATTTCAGTCCTGAAGCTGAAATGTATGCAATCAAATATTTGAAAGACCTTTAAGGTAACTTTATTCCAAGTAACAAATTGATCTTAATTTTTCTCCACTATTATTTTTCAAGTCGATACTTCAGAGACCTGAAAGTCAGAATGAGCCTTTGTTATTTCAGCCTACAGAACATGGCTTGGGGGGTAACCTGTTAACCAGCAGAGGTGGAGTGAAACCTGCTGCCCTGGGGTGCTTGAAGAGATTAGCAGATGAGTTGTTGGCCCAGTCGATGTTGATGGCAAAGTTTGTGTTTCAGCTAGGATTTTATTCTGATTTGAAATTAAGAGAAGGGTAGATCCTCATTAGTGTAATCAGCTTAAGTGGGTTGACTACTCTAAAGCAATTTGTTTAATTTGTTTGAAACATGTTCAATTTTAGCTATAAATGTTCAGCTCTCGCACAGTTGCTATTTATGCTGTTTATCATGTAATTTTGATTCAGTGATTTGTAAAAATAAACCTTTTTGCTCTGGAAGAGAATCTTGTGACAGCCTGTATCCTATTCATCAGTGCTGCTTTAATATCTCACAGAACTTTTTGTGCATTCGTGCTCCAGAGGCACTGCTGTGGCTCTGGATGAGTTTTAAGAGGACTTGTTTGTGCTGCTCGTCGCATGCTTCCTGCATCCAGCATCAGCCAGTTCCTTGATGTCAGAGTGCTCCCCTTCCCTCTGTCTTTGGGTGTCTCATTTGGGCTTTCTTAGATGTGTCTCCCTCTATAATAGTTCCCAGCTTTGAAACCTGCACGGGTCTTAAGAAAACAATGAAACTTTAATTCTTTCTTGAAATTGAAGACCTCGACTCCTCATTTGCCTGCGTGACATCTAAGGGCTACATAAACCAGTTTCCAACGGGAGCAAAGAAATGGTGATTTGGAAGCTAGCAGTTCACCTGTTACAACCTGTGGTTGTTTCTTGTTGAATTGATGTACAAGGACTCTGTTCTTGCACCTCCACGGATGTCACGCATAGCTTTCTGTACTTGCTCCCTCACCTCTTCTTTGGGTGTATTTTGGGTTGTGCTGTTGTACTAGGTTTATTCCTAGGCTCTCGCATCAGGGCATATTTGCCCCTGCAGACAGTTTCCACTTTGTTCCTGCCGCGTAGGGCAGTTGCTGCACAATGTTTCCCTTGGGCATACCCTTCGGTTGGTATCTGCCTGCCTTTTGCTAGTTGGTAATTGGCCCTGGAAGCGGTTGTGGATGGGCTGTGTGGCTCACACGGCTGACTGCATGGCTGGTTAGAGCACACAGAATATCCAGTGGGTTGTTAGAGCTGTTCGTCGTGCCACAAAGCATGTGGCAGAAAGACAGCACAACCTGAACTGACCACGATGCTCTTCTGACCCTTGGACTGAAACTTTCTAGGAGGTGTACTTTTGTGGTGTGCATCCAGTTCAGCTGCAGCTCTCTCCAAGAGGGTTGCTGTTTGTTGCTGTTCCCTTCCACGTGTCCAAGCTCAAGCAAACACCAAGCTTTTTTGGTCAGCCATTCTCCTGGCCACGTGAGGCCAGCAGGGCAGTGTGAGGCTGGGGTCCCTTTGGTGGCAGCCCCAGGAGCTGCGCAGTTTCAGTGCTTTGGGAAACCTGGGGTTGGAGTCACTGGAGCCTGGTGGTAGCAGTCTGGATTTTGGCTTTGATGTCTGCGTTTGTCTCATTCCAGCAGTGATGCTTTAATCTCCGAAGCGCTGTGCTGGGTTTTCGCTGTGCTCAGCTTGAATTTCTTCCAAGACGCTGCACTGCTGAAATAGCAGAATTTGTCCATGGATTCCAGTGCAGTGATCAGTCTCTGTTTATTGGGTTGATAAACTTTCCACAAGAGTAAGGTGGAGCAGGACCTCTTACATAGAGTCAAGCCAAATCACTCAGCAGCACAATGGAAGCCATTAAGCAAAGTGCACTGCAGGGTGCTGCTTTTCTTTCCAAAGAAGATCCTGCGTGTGTCATACGAATTTTCTTGCATTAATGTGTTTAGTGCCATTGAGAAGATCCTTGTTTGGACGTTATTCTGTGTGTTAGTTGGGATTAACTGGTCGAGGTTTGTATTTGAAGTGTTGAGTTGTATCATTCAGTCCTTGGAATGAGCCCTGTGCTCTTTTTGGCTTTCCATCTTCTCTGACTGCAAACCTCCCCTAGGACAGCTGCACAGCAGTGTCTTCCTTTGACCTTTCCAACCCTCGGCCAACACAACGGCTTTGCATTAAAAACCTCAAGTTTGACTGCCTAGGCAAAAGATACCTTTTCCTTCATCAGCAATCGATCTCCTTTGTTGGAAATATGCTTCTTAAGTATTTAGGGATCTGTGGGTGATATTTTTGAAGCTCCTGTGGCTCACTGTGACAGTGGAATTGGTGGGACCAGGACACAGTGCTTGCTGCAGAAATAGTCAGGCTCCATTCTGAATGATGGGCATCCAGAGCAGCTGGGCTCTGAACAAGTTATTATGTAGATTTTCTGAGGTTTGTAGGGAGAAGTGGCTCAGGGAAACCTACATCTCAGATATGAACCCTGGAATTATGTAGCCTTATCTGCCCACTTGGATCCTGCAGGAAGCAGGTACTGCTACTGTTAAAGCTCCTGTTTCTAGCTTTGTCCTTTCCCAAAGAAATACTGAGTATGGACTTGAATTTTAGTGAGTTGAGAGTGTTTTCCTCCCAGCTTCACTGTGCTGACGGTGTGGGGCTGGGAGGCTCTGAAGGGCTGGTCACCATGCGGCCTCGGTCACGTTCCTCCAGATGCCCTCTGAAAATGAGATGTTTGACAGCATTTTTATTCTAGCAAAGGCAAGATGTACATTCTTGACCGCAGGCACGGCTGGCAGCAGCACGGCTGAAAACCCTCGGAGAAAATCGAACCCTAAAAATATGCCTGAAACTAAAATAACGTCCTCTGCAGGCTGCCACTTAGGATGCTTTTTTTTAATGTTCTTAGCTACAGCTTCACCTTGTGGGAGCTCCTGCCTAGAGCAGAGCCTTCCCGAGGCTTAATCCCACTGTGAAAGTGAGAAGGGCACTCCAAGCTCTTGGCTCGGAGCACTTGGAGCTGATGGCAGAGCTGACTGCAGGGGCTGGGCCCCAGGGAGCGCTCAGGCTTGCCGTGCTTCCTTTCCCACGTGAAACCCCTGTTGTTGGAGCCTGGCTGCCATTTATCTTCCTGGTTCTCGTGTCCAGTAGGAATTCAACTTTAATTGCAGCGGGCTCTCTTTACCAAGTAAGGATGTAAATGTATTCCTTTTCCCTTGCTCTGGGAATGAGATTCTTAGCCTTCCTTAAGAGCCTGTCGGCAAATTTGTTCTCCAGTACTCCATAATTAGCACGCTCCTTGCCTGACTGGTTTCCTTCCGGTTTGCACTTTTCAAGACTGTTATCATGACGTAGAAATCGCGGTGCAAATATTGTGCAGAGAGCTTGAATTTAGAAGTCTCTGTTTGAAGCTTGTCAAGCCTTCAGCACAGGGCTGATGGCATTCAATTGCCATTTGTGTTTATTTGGGGATTTTGGAAAATGTTCAGGGCTGCCTGGGTCAGGTTCCACCGTTGCTTTTGGAATCGCTTCCATGTCAGACAGCCCTGCTTTCTCAGAGGATGCTGCTGCTGTTCATGCTCACTACAGCATAAAGCAAAGGGCAATAGCCTCCCAGGTTGGCGGTGCTGGGCAGATGCTGGATGTGGGACACGAACTCGGGTTGGGCTGGGAATGCCTGCAATACTCCACAATATCTCACTAATGCGTCCTGACGACTGATGCCTAACATGATCCCCTGAGCATGTGATTTAACGAGATTAAAGCCATCCCTCAGTAATCTTTGTTGAGCTGTATTTTGTTCTTTTCATGTAATTCACGGGAGTATAAAATCTGCAATATTTAAGCTCTGGTAATCTCGGTGCCTCATTTATTGTATTGTTGGCAAGTTGATTAGTGCCGTTGGGCAGATTAACGAGCTTTCCTGAACCTGTATGTGAAGCTGCTCTGCTTCTGGCACGCTCCAGTTCTGGCGTTCTCTGCCTTTACCTGCGTTGGGCTCGGCTGCCTGGGCACGTCGTGGGCAGATACACAGCCAGAGCCGGGTACACAGCTGCACCAGCAGCCCAGTTCTGGTGGCCAATGATTAGCGGAGGAGCAGTTAGCTCTGCGCTGCATTCTGCCCTGGATGGACCCCGATTGTTTCTTTGTGGTGATGGATGAAAACATCAATCTCTGCTCTTTCTTATGAATATAGTGCAGGCAAGCTTTGTGTGACCGTGCTGTGTAACCCCAGCTGGGGATTCGCTTGCTTTGACTGCAGCCCTTTTTCAAACATACCTCGTTTTCTGCAAGGGCTTTGTGTTCCTGGCTGCTCAGACGAGCGCCAGCCCGTGGCTCTGCCTGCTGCTCAGTGCGACGCAGGGAGCACTGAGTTGGTTATGCTGAGGCCAAGCCTTTGTGTTTCCAGGGCCAGGCGCTTTCATGTGGTCACATTATTGCTTTGAAATCCATTTGTCTAATCAAGGGTGTAGCCGAGCAAAGCCTGCACTCATTTGGCCTTTGGTTCATTCACAGTACATGCTGAAACTAATTTGCTTGCCGTGTAAGATCAGAAAGGACGCTTGAGACGTGAAAACCAAGGCTTTGCACAGCAAAAGATTTGCACCCAGGAGAAAGGGTGTCCATGTTGTCCCAGTGACTGATTCCAATCCTTTTCATATTCTTCCAGCTGAAGGGCTTCCCCAGGTTTATTATTTTGGACCGTGCGGAAAGTACAACGCCATGGTACTGGAGCTGCTTGGTCCTAGCTTGGAAGATTTGTTTGACCTCTGCGACAGGACGTTCACTCTGAAAACGGTATTAATGATAGCCATCCAGCTGGTGAGTAAAGCGTTTGTGTCAGCTCTCTTAGCCAGCCAGTTCTAAATTAGCCTGGCTTCGCCAGAACAGAACCTCAAGTGGAAAATTGAGGTCACAGATGCACGGTGTTGATCCACACTGACATGGTTTTGGGTGCACAACATTGTGCTCCTGTGGCCAAGCAGCCTGGTTTTGTTCGAGTGCTCCTGCATCATTGTAAAACCAGTTTATAGTCTTTTTGATTGAATCAGATGGCAAAGCCTTGCATACAGTTTGTATCCCTTTTCATTGCACTCCAGAAACAGTATTACCATTTCGGGTAACCCTGCAGTGTTCAAAAAAATCATCGTTGGTCTCATAAGCAGTGAGAACAGAGTAGCAACGTTGGATATGTTTTTCAGTATGTGCATGTAACATAAGGCAAAATTTGGGTTGAAACAACATGCATCGAGTTGAATTTGACTGACTTACATTTCTTACAGTAGTGTTAGAGACACGTCCTAGTACTTACAGGAGTAATTTTATTGCAATGAGACTGCTGGGGAAATGAAGCCTAACACAGCAGGGTCCTGCCTTGTGCCAAGCAGTGGGGTGGCAGATCAGTTCTGTACTGGGAGGATCTCCATTGGCACCAGCTGCCCATCCTGTGACCTGGCCTGGCCTGCCTGCTCACCAAGACACCAGGACCAGCGTGGAAAAAGGGGGCTCAGAGTGAATCATGGGGACAGGAAAAGCAATCCCACATGGAACGGGGGTTCTCTGTAGGCAGCACTTCTCCTTTTTCCTTGGGGAGATGTTTGAGGACCTTATCGATCTTTTCAGGAAGAGGTCATGAGATACCAGCGTGGACGCACGTGTTTAAGGAGACAGATTTAGCATCTTCACAGGTGCTCCATCTCCTTTGCCAGAAGGGTTTCTGGGAGGAGGGCTCGGCTGTCTCCAAAGTGCTTTCTGAAGGGCTGGTGCTTCCTGCTCCACTGGGACAGAAGCCCTTTGGGGAATGTTGTCTTGGATTTCTGCTATACTAAATCATTACCATTGCTGTGTCACACTCCAGTGTGAGAGAGACATAAAAGAAGAGGAGCTGAGCTGTCATGTTCAGTGGTGGTTTTGCCTCCATAAATTGTTTTGCTGTTGTTTTTGAGCAGCCAAGGCTGCTTAAGCTGCTGTAATTCTAATCTCGGTCGTGAGGAAACATGAAACTTCACTGCCAGAATGCAGCGCATCGCACAAGCAGTGCCACTCTGCTCTGGTGTTTGAGATGCCTGGTAAGGATGCCCAACACGCAGGCAGACTTCCCACCGCGTGAGCAGCCTGCTGCCACCCAGACAGCAGGGAGGAGCACCTCGCTGCCTCAAGTCCCCGCTGGAGGGGGGAAGGAAAGGTTCTCTGTGGTTGTTTTTGCACACGTGCTGCAGGAGGACTCCTCTGGCTGATGGGAGCTTTTGGGCGCTGCTACTCCGCAGTGTGTGCATTTCTGATGCCTCACGTTGCTCGGCTGGGAGCATCGCGTTGGAACCGCTTCCTCCAACCTCTGCGCGCAGCTGAACAGACGGAGCGTCCCTGAGCTGTGCAACGCAGGGAAATAAAGCAGGCGGTCACTGAGGCACATAAATCAGAAGTCATGCCTTGGCTGCGCAGGGCTGACAGCCATCAGCTCCCTGCTCCTGCAGACAGAAGCGGGGCAGGCGTCCTGTCACAGGGCATAAGGCGCACCGCTGCAGCAGGACATCTTTCTGACGGGGAAGAGCCTCTTCCAGCCATCCCCAGCAGCACAGCAGGAGGTGTGCAGGCAGGTGGAAGGAAACCCGCCTGCGCCTGTCTGCGGCGGAAGCACAAAGAGCAGGTTCACCAATAGCTCAGAGTGCTGCTGGAGTGCGTTGTTCCACAGCATCCTCGCTGTCCGGGTTTTTGTACAAATTACTGTCATTGCCATTGGCTGTTGCAACAGCTGGGCTTCTTTGGTGGCAGACATGTACAAAATGAGCCAGTCAGGCTCTGCTTGAAAACCTGTTCTGCACGGAGGGGTCAGGAAACCCTTTGTTCCCATTTTAAGGGTTGCAGTTTAATTTGAGCTGCCTCCTGACATACCTTTCTGTCTCCAAACCTGCTGCTGTGTCACGGAGCTGACTCAAGACGTGAAGAATGGCTGAAGTGAGGAGCATCTGCAGCGTCCTGGAAATGATGAGCAGTAATGGCTGGGAGCTGTGCAATCCATTTTCTCAGCGCATTGAAATAAATCACTGCTTAAAACGAGAGGGGAGAGGAGCGGTAACACAGAGTTAGCGACACAAAGGAGAGCTGCTTGCAGGCCTGCTCGAACATCGCTACACATCATTTAGGCGTTTTCTGAAGCAGAATTAACAATGCACACTGAGTGAGGTGTGTTGCGAGAGCTGAGGCGGCCCTTCTTCCCTTGGAGCCAGGCTTCTGGCTCTTTGCTTGCTCCTCGGTGGCAGAACACAGATAGTCAAAAGCTGAAAAATACTCCAACCAATTCTGCTTGACGACTGGTGAGATTAATTATTCTTTTTAGTTGGCGTTGAGGAGCGTAAGGCTTCCGCCTGCCCAGATCCCCCCCTCCAGGGAGAATTTGGCATGTCTAAGACAGCATATGGGTTGAGGGAGGGAGGTGGTGAGGTGCAGAGCAACAAGGGAGGGCTGTGGGTAAGGGAGGAGCTCCTGGTAGCTGGCTTAGCGTGTTTAAAATCAATACAAAAAGGCTGCTGCAATTCTCCATGGAATCCTTCCAAGAACGCTGTGCTGGTGGTAGCATTACAGAAGAAAGGGTCCTGTTCCCTTTCAGATGAAGTCAGGGAGCACAGGGAGAAAGGTGGGGATGGCAAATTCCTCTTCCAGCTGTGCAATGAAGAATGCCGCTGCTCAGGCAGTCACCGGTGCCTCATTCTGCTCTGTTGGTGCCACTTGCACAGTGCCTGTGTGTGCAGGTGGCAGCGGGTGGCTTGAGGAGGCTTTGTGGTGGGCTGCAAAACCTGGCTGCTCTGTTTGCAGGAGAGCAGCTGGGCTGCCTGGGAGTAATGTTTGCTTCGTCCTTTTGCAGATCTCTCGAATGGAATACGTGCATTCGAAGAACCTCATCTACAGAGATGTCAAGCCAGAAAACTTCCTTATTGGCCGGCAAGGCAATAAGAAAGACCATGTCATTCACATCATAGACTTTGGATTGGCAAAGGAGTACATTGACCCAGAAACCAAAAAACACATACCTTACAGGGAACACAAGAGCTTAACTGGAACGGCGAGATACATGTCCATCAACACACATCTTGGCAAAGGTCTGTACGTTCAGCACGAGCTGTGCTGGTGCTGGGGAGCTCTGGTGGTAGCTCAGCTTATGGCTCCGTGCCCTTCATACCTTTGCTAACACAGCATGGCGATGCCGTGAGGCTTTTGGGGGTTTGTTGGTTGTTTTTTTTTGAGCAGTTGAGTCAGCTGAAAGTGTTGGAACTGGAAGCCTTGTAATTATGAGTTTTTGTTAGGAGCAAAACAATAAAGGTAGCAGTCCTGCTCTGATAAAAGCAAGTGGGCAGGCAGTAATTGCCACACTTAGTGGAGACCAAGGAGATCTTTATAGCACAGCCCCACACCAGCGCCTTTCAGTTTCAGTTGCTGTTCCCTGACCTAATAACCGGTTGGAGAAAATGAATAATGGCTTTCCTTAATGATAGAACTAATTTTAAACCCATCTTCTGTCTCCTCACTCGCTGCCTTGTATCCTCGGAAAATTACGTCTTTGTGGCTGAAAGGCAGAAGCCCTTGTTAAATGTTTATAGTCCTTTAAACTCATGAGAGTGGTACGGCGGTGGCACAGGGACGGGTCGGAGAGCCTCTCGTTTTGGGGAGTGAGAAGAGATGGGTGCAATTTCTGTTTCTGAGGAGACTGGGGAAGAGATGGAGGAAGTGAGCGGCTGCAGATGGGAGCACCGCAGGGCACTGCTCTGCCACCACCTACCGGCCAGCTGGCCTCCAGGCACCTTGTGCTCCGTGTTCTGTGTGCGGGGGAGCCTGGGGGAGAGCAGGTCGCTGCCGCTGGGAGGCAGAGACAGTTGGTGAGCAGCGCTGGGGGCCCCGCGCTGCTGGGGAGCTCTGGGACCATTCGTCCAGCAAGCAGTGATGCCAACAGGACAGCCTCCTGCTGCTCAGGTTGCCTTTGTTCTCCCTTGTATCCTGTGGCTTGTTGGCAGTGTGGGCCACGTTTCGGTAGATTATTTTAAAGGATGCCTTGCCCTTGGCTCGACGCCTCCTTTTTATGTTTTTTTACCTCATCTATAATCATAACATCTGCATGGCAACAGCAGCGAGTGTTTCACGAGCAAAAGCAGTGCTAAAAGGAGCTATTTTTAACCCTCTGTGATGCACTGAGCTCCAGAAGCAGCAGGAGATGGCTGGCACTGTGTGCATGTCAGTTCCCACAGCTGGCTGTGAGTGTCCCCTGCCCGCTGCTGCGGGGCTCAGAGGAAGTAATCCAGCACATCCTTTGCACACAGTGCTGGGCATGCTGGCTCCCAGCTCCTATCTTCTAGCTGATCCGTGTGTTTCATGTTCCTTGTAACGAGTTCCAAGTTCTTTTGCACAAGCCCTGAGATTGCACGTTTGAGAAATATGTAGATGTGGCACTGAGGGACATGGGTTAGTGGGCAATATTGGCAGTAGGTGGGTGGTTGGACTAGATCATCTTTTCCAACCTTAATGATCGTATGATTCAAGTGAGCATTCCTGCTATAGCTTTCTGCCTGAAATCCCTTTTCCTACTGGCCAGATCCATTTCTGCAGCCGCAGCAATAATTTGTCATCTCTTCTGTTGCAGAGCAAAGTCGTCGAGACGACTTGGAAGCCCTTGGCCACATGTTTATGTATTTCCTCCGAGGCAGTCTGCCCTGGCAAGGACTGAAGGTAGGTTTGAGTCTTAGGTTTTGCCCATTTAAACTCACTTTTCTGCCCAGATGTGAATGTGTCAGGGGAACATATGGAAAATCAGGGCATAGCAGTCCTGTATGTCTGTGAAGTTGAATACTAAGGTGTTAGATTTACCTGCAGAGAAGATGCCAGGCCTGAAGTACATTACCTGTCACTGCAGATTAGTGTTAGCATCACCGAGTCGGTGCAGCTCTGCAGGGAAGGTGCGAGCAAAGGAGCAGCTGGGACAGGGAGGGCAGCAGTGGGGCTGCTGAGCAGTTGGAGCAGCTTAGCTGTAATGTGCACCTGCCCAGAACACAATGGTTGTTTATGAAATTCCGGTGATGGCACACAGTGCCCCAGCTGCATCCAGGGTCGTGTTTGTAACAGGAGCAGTCTGATGGTTTTAGATTTGCCGAGAGACTTTAGCCTGAAAAGCTGCTTTTCTGGCAGAAGTGTGGAGCTTGGCTTCCCTCCAGGGACAGCGGACATTCAGTGCTCAGTTCTGGATTGTAAGTTTATGAAATGTCATCTACAGTGCCGAGGGCTGCGAGCAACTGAGTTACAACAGCCACAGCTGACATCCATCAGCAGAATGCCATGTGCTGGCTCCCAGCTGCTGCTGGCTTCATCTTCTCTTCTCCAGCACCTTCCTGATCGTGCAACTACATGTTCACCTCTGGAGCTGCACTGAGTGAAGGGATGAGGGTGACCAGCTTAGGAGGTTTTTAGTGAAGACAGCGACTCCTTTTAGGCCTGTTGGCATGCTGTGAAAAAAACAGATGAGTTTTTGGGCTCACTGTCTTCAGCGGAGTGCTGCGGTGGCCAATGGCATGATAGAACCTGCTAAGCTGCTTTGTCACCATCTATCCAGAGTTAACCTCAGCTTTGCCTTATCAACACGTGTCAGAATTGTCAGCAGCAATGCAGAAAACACAGAAGGGATTTTCAAGCACTGAAATGATCCTGAAAGGGCTCAGAACCTCTCTGGCAATAGGTGCACTTCCAATGGTAAATCTATCAGTGTTATTCCATTACATATTTTATTTCTTTAGTTTGAACTTAACTGCTTTAAATCAATCCTATAAACTACTCTAAAATAATTCCAGGTTTAGACAGGACTGCAAAATTTTCCTTGGATCAGTGCTGAGTTAGTGAGAATTAGTTGTTTGCTCCTTGAAGTCTTGCATTTCTTTAGCTTCAGAGCACACCCAAATTCTTCAGCCTGAAAACGTGGCATCTTCACGCTTGTAGGTTTCCTCAGCCTACACTTCTGGTCTCTACTGTCAATGCTGAGGTCTTAAGAGGACATCTTACAATGCTAATTGTATTGCTGGCAGGTCTAATTGGCATATTTTGAAATGGAGGCAGTGAAACCTGTTTGTAGGGTGCCAACTGGAGCAGAGTGCTCTGCTTCAGGAGCGATTCAGGTGGGAAAACAAACTGAAATGTGTGTCATTTTTCTGGATGACCAGCTGCTTAATCAGTGCTAAGTGACAGGCACTTGGGGGTGAAAGAAGTAGCACGGGGTTTGGGAGAAGTGTGACTGATATAATCTGGTTGCTTGACTCTGTGGTGGCATTCTGTTACGCACAGTAAAAACATGACATGTCTAAATTGCTGTCACAGTTTAACTGCTTTTGCAGTTGCTTATGAAGCTGTCATGCTTGCAGATGGCTCTCAGCCTAGGACTGCTCTTTGCTGGAGTGTCAGGATACTGATGTGCAATTGAAGTATATGCAGCTTTAATTTCTTGCCCCAGAAAAGCTTCCCTGTACCAGGACTGGGCTGGTAAGAAATGAGCCCTGTGAGCACAACCAGCGTGCTTCCTTTCAAGTACTGAAGGCATCCTGAATGCCTCTCTGGATGTTCTGTGCTGACTGCATGTAAAGCACACAGTGAAGATAACAGCAGGATAACATACTGTAATCTAGGATGCAGTTCAGCTCCAAGTGACATCGCCTGCTACCACCCAGAATCAGCATTAAACACCTTGTTTTTCCTCCCAGACAGCATGGCGTTTCTCACACGGTTGATCTCTTTCCCCACAACTGTTTTGTCTTTGTGCACTGCAGGCTGACACCTTAAAAGAGAGGTATCAGAAGATCGGGGACACAAAGCGAAACACTCCGGTTGAAGTTCTCTGTGAGAACTTTCCAGGTAAAGTGCTGATGGGGTCACTGGAGACAGACATACCTTGTTGGATGTGATAGTTCTGAGCAGCTCTGCCAGAGAGGATTTCAGTGATGTACACGTGTTATGTCGTTCCTCAAGCAGGAAAACAACTGGGGCTGCTGCTAGGAATTAGCAGGGCTGGGAGCTTGTGACTGTGACTTGCTACAAGCATAACTCTTCCCACTCTGCAAGCTGGGCAGTGCCCGAGTGCCCCGTGTCCCTGCTTTTCTTCCTTCCCGCAGAGGACCTTGTTGTCTTCCCTCTCTCAAGTGCCTGTGTTGGCTCTACTCAGTTGATTTGTTTCCAGTTGAAAAGACTTACAGGTGCTAAAATTTTAGGTGGCCAGCTTAGAAGATGGGACGATGTCACTGAATTCCACCTTCTAACAACGGCTTTAAGGAGAGCTTTATTAAGGGTGCACTCCTAGCAAAGTTTGGCAGCTTTTCTCCAGTTCAGCAGAAGTCCGTTGCAGAGCTGGGAGAGCAGAGTATGAAGTGAAAGCCCTCCCGGGGTGCGGTGCAGCCTCCGTGCAGTGCTTTCAGTATTTTGTCTACGAGGTGAGAAACTGGACAACAGGGAGAGCACCCAGGTCCTCACAATCAGCCCCGTTCCTGTTGGAGCCGTTCTCATAGACTCACAGAATCATTACGATTGGAAAAAACCTCTAAGATCATTTAGTCCAACCATCAGCCCATCTCACCATGCTCACTGATTCGTGTCCGTGGCTCTTTACCAGCACAAGGAGCAGCAAGTCTGGAAAGAATTGTTGTTCAGGTCATTCTTATTTCCCAGACACGTTTCCATCCCAAATCCACCAAGCTGCAAGCAGAAAGACATCAGGTTGGCTGTTGTCATTTTTGCTCTTTTCCCCATTCCTTCCCTTCCCGGTGCTCCTTCCTCAGAGCTCTGTCACACATGCAGGTCTCAGCTGAAGGGAGATGAGGCAACTTCTTTCCTGCACTTGCCTGAATCCCGTTGATCCTCCATCTTTCAAAGACAACAGCAGGAGGAGGAAATGACCTTTCTTCTTCTTTTGCCTCAGTGTGACAGACAAGCAGCCAACCATAGGTGTAGCTAACCGTCACCAAGCAGAGCTGCTTTTATTTTTGTCAGTTAAAGGCAAAAACTGAGCTTCTTCCTGCAGTACCCAGTCTCATTCCTCGTGATGAGCTCTGCTCAGAACAACAGTCATGTCCTGGTATAGAAATCACTGTGTCTATTTTAAATGTCTATGAGCTGACGTATGCGTGAGCATCCTGTAGGCAGGCTCAGAGAGCTGCCCTGTGTCGTAGAGTGCATTTTAGTGTTTGTTTTTATACAAGACTATAGAGTGAAGCTTGCTGTGGAACTTGCTGGAGGTAGAGCAGCAGCCCTCTGCAGCAGGTGTGGGACTCCAACATTGTTAGAGATGTATTTGTATCGATTTGCATTGTGGACTGCTTCTAAAGCAGCAGTTTTTAAAGGAAAGCCAAGGTTAGCAGCAGCAGCCCAGGCAATTCTCCCTACATGATGCTCAGTGCTGCAACACAGGCCTTGCTTTATAGCAGCTCATTCAGAAGATTCAGAATGAAAGCAAGCTATTATTAGGCTTTGGGCAGGGCCGGAGGGCTCTAGAGAGCTGAGTGAGGTTCATCAAGCAGCAGGAGGCTGGGTAGGTCACGGGGGGTGAAGGCCTGCAGGCTCTCCTCGGCTCCCATCGATCCGCCTGGCTGAATGTGGCAGAGCCTGGGCAGCTCTGGGGTCTGCCTCTGGTCCGGCTGGGGGAACTGTCGTGCTCTGTGCCGTGGAAGGGCCTTGTTAGAGTTCATTGAAAAGCACCTTTCCAGCGTGTGCATGTATCGCGTGCCGTGCGCTGAGAGGCTTGTAAGTGATGGAGCGACGAGTGGGCAGAGCTGACACTGCTTCCTTCTCCCCTTCTCCAACAGAGGAGATGGCCACATACCTCCGTTACGTTCGGCGATTAGATTTCTTTGAGAGACCAGACTACGACTACTTACGAACCATCTTCACAGAGCTGTTTGAGAAGAAAGGCTACACCTTTGACTACGCCTATGACTGGGTCGGCAGGCCAATTGTAAGTCCCTCCTGCAGAATGCAGGGCCTTGCTGCTCTCGGTTTGTTCCAGTACTGCCAGTTAGTGCCAGTGAGTCAGGATCAAACCGCTCCCTTCTTTTCTGGAGCCAGCAAGTACAGGCTCAGTGCAGAGGGAAGTCCTGGTGCTGTATTAGGGGGTTCTTGTGGTGCCATTAGTTATCCTAAGGGGCAGATGGCCCCTTGCCACCAATTTGGCTTCGCCTTGGTGTGGCATATTCAGTGCTGACTTCCTCCCTTGCAGCCACGAGCAGGACTGGGCTTAATTTCCTCTATCCTAGCACATGATTTGAAACCTTTGGTCATCAATATCTGAAGACATCCATCTTACAGCTGGAACCCATACTTGCTTTCTCAGCACCCAGCATAGCGGCTGAGTTGTCACAGAGCAGTACGGGAAATGTGGGCAGGGCTCTGACAGGTGCTCAGAAAACAATAAAAGGAAAACCCATCGTGATCTCTAAAGATCCCTGGGCTTGCCCTGCTCCAGGGGCTGAGCCAGCTCTAAATATGGCAGGGCAACGTGGGAGTATCCAAGCTGCACTTATCACCAGGTGGGACGTAACTGTGATCTCAGTCCATTGCTCCTATAGTCAAAAGCGTTTGTATTCAGGAAGGCTCAGAGGTGTGTCACTGGGAAACCTGATGAAACGTCTGAAGCTCTTCCGTTGGCTGCCCATCTGAGCCGTGCCTGTGCTGCAGCCCGTCGCTTGGTGCCGCTCCGCTGACAGCCTTCCTGCTAACAGCCAGTCGCTGTGCACCACCAGTGGCAAAGGCAGCTGTAAATTAATTGTCACTGGTGCCGGATCAAATGTGTCACTGGTGCCTTCAGAGCTGAACCTGGTACCGCTGCCAGTGACTTCCATCCATCTGTGTTTAGCATTACCAATGTTTTCTGTGCGCAGAGCACTTCGTTTTAGTAAGAAATCATTCCCTTTGTGAATCATGATTTTTGCTCTCATTTTTGTTTGATTACAAAGACAATTGATAAAAAGCACCTTGTAAGACAAGCTTGCTATTGCTGACAACTGCAGTGGTTGCTATGGAGATTTTGATGTTGTGAGCAAGGATTGTGACTTTGGTGAGAATAGAGCAGATGAAGCCTTAATTTTAACACGTCCTGTTTCTATGCAAGGGTGGTTTTTAAAAGGAACAAGACAGTGAGCTGAGGAAAACAAGCCTGTATGTTTTGCAGTTGCATTTGTGACAAGTGCAGTGCGATCTGACACTGGAAGAGATTCAGATGTATCTTTATAGTTCACTTTCCTACAAGGTGTTTGATGCCAGTATCCAGCAAGCAGTCACATCACAGGCGTCCCATGGCTCTTGCTGTAATTATGCCCGTTGATGCCAGTACCTTTGGGCAGCATTTTGACGTCTTCCTGCGCTGTTTGTGCATGATGGGAGCCGACCTGACTTGTGTCCTAACAAACACCTTGTTTTCCAGCCTACTCCAGTGGGATCTGTTCACGTAGATTCCGGGACGTCTGCAATAACGAGAGACAGCCACGTCCATCGGGACCGGCCGTCACAGCAGGCGCTGCGCAATCAGGTGTGTTGGCAGCACTGCCTCGCTTGGCATCCTTCTGAATTCCCCTTGGTCTGCAGAACAGAAGCCCTGCCGGTTGGGGTAGCTGGGGCTGATTCTTGCCTTTGTGGCAAGCGTGTTTCTTGCTTAATTTAGGAAGATTTTGGTCTGAGCAAACTTTTCTCAAAGCAACGAATGGCTGAAAGAGTGGTGGAGTTCCTCCAGATTGTGAACAAGTGGGGTGGAGTGAGATGTGTGTGTTCCATGGACATGCATGGCATCCGGCTCGGGGTGCCCCGTCAGAGGCACTGTGCTGCACAGCAGAAAGGACTGCTGGCGCAGGGTCCTTTGGGGAGGCTGGGCGTTGTGGTCCAGATAAACTGCAGGTTTATGAATTTCCCCCTTTTTTCTTTCTAGTGGTAATATTGGTGTTGAGAGTCTGGATTTTCTTTATTAGCAAAGGTGCTCAGAAGTTGAGTAGATCTCCAGCTGCTGGCTCCTAGCTGGAGCTGTTGGTGCTCTTGCTTCCCAGTGAGTGGTTCTGGGCTCGCTCTGCTCCTCTAACTGCTGTGTGCTGTTCTGGCTGTGTCTGTGATTCCTGCACCCACACAGCTCACGCGAGCTGGGCCTTGTGGGCACAGAATTGAGTGTGAGATGCAATAACCTGTCTGGGCTCAACTCTCCTTGTTCCATGCAGCTGTGCTTGGAGTGATAGAACACCTAATACAGACTGCATCTAAAGCTTTCAGCTACAATCAGGATGAATATTCCCCATTAGAAGTGTTGCTTGTAGGAGGCTGCACTGTTTGAAGCATGTGTGCAGTACTTATGCATGCTTATTAGTGTGGACTGGGTTGACAGTAGTAGTAAAATAATGTGCTTTATTATATTGCCTGATGAATGCATTAACTCCATTTTGGGTGGCAGTTTGTAGTTGTCTGCTCTGACAACAGATCTTCATGCTGTGTACAATCAAGGCATCTCGTTCTCTTTGATGGACAATGACGCCTGGCTTCATTTTCAAGCATATTAGTTCACAAATGTTAGTAGATAGCACAAAGACAGCTGTCTTATTCCCAAAATATTATTTGGACAGCATTCAGTTTTTGTTCTTCTAAGCCTTTCAGTCTTAATCATAGAATCACCAAGATTGGAAAAGACCTCTAAGATCATCCAGTCCAATCATCCGCCAACCACCAATATATCCCACTAAACCATATCCCTCTGTACAACATCTAAGGTTTTTTAACATCTCCAGGGACAGTGACACCACCTAGGCAGCCCATTCCAGTGCCTGACCACTCTCTCGACTTCCTAACATGCAACCTCAGTCCCCCCTGATGCAATTCCAAGGCACCTTTTGTCTTTTTTTTCTCCTAAACATTACTGAGGATGTTCAGTTATTCAATAGAATCAATCACAGAATGGCTTGGGTTGGCAGGGACCTCAAGGATCACTGTCATTTAGCCCCCCTGCTGCAGGCAGGGCTGCCAGTCGCACGATCAAGTAGTGGATCAGGTTGCCCAGGGCTCCATCCACCTTGGCCTTGATCACCTCAGGGATGGAGCATGCACAGCCTGGTCCCACCTCCAGCCTTAACCCACCGGCCCTCCACCTGCTCCTGACTGCTCCTCAGAGGCAGCTCCTTGCAGTCCGTCCACTTCTTAACACAGAGGCCATCACCTCCACCCCCTCTACCTTGCCTGCCCTTTCTATAAAGCTCATAGCCCTCCATCGTGGTATTCCAGTTGTGTGAATCATCCCACCACGTGTCTGTGATGGCAAGAAGATCAAAGTTTCCCAATGCACCACAGTCTCCAACTCCTCCCTCTTATTCCCCATGCTGCATGCATTGGTATAGAGGCACTCCAGCTGAGCTTTCAGACACACTGCCTTCCTAGAGGAGCCTTCCCACAAACCTCAGGGACGGATCTGAGCTGACAGCATTCCCTGGCTCTTCTCTGTTCCTCAGCACTACACCAACCCCCCCAGCAGCTCCAGTTTAAAGCTCTCGCAGTGAGCCCAACCAGCTTGCTGCTCCTCCATGTCAGTTGTGTCCCATCCCATGGTTCATTGAAGGTATGTCATGGATCATAGAAGCCAAAGACCTGAGTGTGACACCACCCATGCACCCTGTCATTCAGCTGGTCCGTTCTCCTCTTCCAGACCTCGGTCTGTAACCAAGAGGACTGAGGAAAGCACCACCTGCATTCCCAATCCTTTTAGCATCTTCCCAAGGCACATAAAGATTCCTTGACATTTTTTTCCTTCCCTGGTCGCAGCCTCATGCAACCCAGCTTGAAGGACCAGGTGGGGATAGTAGTCCTCCAGCTTTATCCTCCCCAGCGTCTTCCTCCTGTCCCAAATGCAGGCACCAAGCACATATCAGACCTCTCTAGAGAGCTTATCTGGGCTGCAGATGGGCACCTCAGTGCCCCTCAGCACAGAGCTGCTTTGGAAGTCACAGATACCTTCTTCTCTCTCCCACACCATAGATTTTTTTATCAGGTATTTGGGTGTAGAACCTTAAGACAGAAATCTGGCTCTGGTGTCATCTCACGCCTTTCCTGCAGAGTGCCTCCAGGCTCCCAGGCCATGCTCTCTGTGCTGACAGACATACAGCTCCATCAGCTGACCTGGCCAAGGAAACTGGCAGTGCAGTGTTTTGTAGAAAGCAGCACTCAAGATATGTACTTCACCAACTTCTAAAACTCCATTTAAATTCTCCAGTTGTTCTTAATCTTGTGACCTGCAGCAACTGAAGAAGAATTTCAAGGGAAGTGCTTCTCCAGTAACTCCTTTGAATGATAGCAATAGAAAAGGATAAGCAGTGTCTCGGGCTGACAGAACAAGCATTTAACAAAAAGATTTACAGGCCTGCATGGAGGCATCTCTAGGGAAACGCTCCCTGTGAAGTGGGCTTGTTGACTGCTCAGGAGGAGCTGCACTGCGGGTCACTCAGGGACGGACCCAGAGGAAATGATGGTGCTTGTTTTATGGCATGCGAGCAGAGTGCTTTTCTGTTCTGCTTCCTTTTGCAAATGCTCTCGTTCCAGTTTGGTGGCCAGTTAGCATTGTACAAGTGCACAGGAAGGTTTCTGGAGTCATCCTGCGTGGAATTGCTGGCAGCTCCTCCCTCTTTTCCTGGCCACACAGCAGCTCCTCTCTGGCTCTGACCAGGGCTCAGGCTCATTCGTGTGAGAGAATGACTGCATCCAGCAACACAGCCATGCCCTTAGTAACGTCGTGCTGGACTCCATTCTGTGCCATTGGCGTGAGATCTGACACACATCTGTCTGCCTCCCTGTCCTGTGCTTCCAGCCTTGGCAATAAGTTCCTTCAGCTGATTGTTGGTTTGGCTGCACAGAGATGCTCATTGCCCTCAGATGAACACTGGGTGTGTTGTCATCGGTGCTGGATGACCTGTTAGCAGCCTCGTGTGCAAGTGCAAAGTGGTTCTTCTAATAAAACAAATCAAATTCTAATAATTTCCCTGTATACAGTTTGCATCTACTGGAGATGAAGTCAGCGGAAGTTTCTTGTTTACTGCACTTTTGAGTAAAAAAACAAGTATTTTAGGGAGGTCAGTCTTGGGTATCTCAACTTGCTGCCATGTCCAGGGCTCTGATGTGGGCCCTAGCAGACAGGGTGAAACATGCTGCCAGCATGGTTATTGCTGTGCCGAAACACATGCAGGCAACGCTGTGCATAGAAATAACTTCTTGGATAGATGTGAGCTTTCTTGTTGTTTATCACCTACAGAAGGAATGCACTCCTGCAGTGGGTAAAGCTGAAGGAATGTATGGTTAATACTTGGTAAAGTTAAGCTGTAGCCTAGCTGTCTAAATTGCCTTGCTGTTTTGCAAGAAAAACCTACAGAGAAACAAAATGGACTAACTCACTAACAGCCATCCTCTCATTTCTTCACCTCATTCACCTTTTGCCCTCTCTTCTGCTTCTCTTCTGCTTCTGGACTTTGAGCAGGCGTCATCCGATCGCCGAGGAGAGTGGGAGATCCAGCCCAGCCGGCAGACCAATACCTCGTACCTGACATCTCATCTGGCTGCGGATCGGCACGGAGGATCAGTGCAGGTACCTGCTCCTCCGTGTCAGAATCTGTGCGTCACTGAATTGCAGTTATACCTGCCACTGTGAGGCCAAATGCCTGGGAAAAGCCAGGTGGCTGCTGTAGACAGGGAGCGTGATGTAAAGGCTTCCCAGGAACCAACAGGAGACAAGAACAGACAGAAATTATTTCACAGGCTTCCCGTTCCTCCAGTATGCCTTGTTGAGACGGGTGGAGATGCATCACGTGGAACCGTGCTGTGGGGGGAGCTTTGTTAATGGGGAATGTCTTGTGTTTCAGGTGGTTAGCTCGACCAACGGGGAGCTGAACGTGGACGACCCGACGGGGGCACACTCCAATGCACCTATAACAGCACAGGCAGAGGTGGAAGTGGTGGAGGAAGCTAAGTACGTTGGCTTTACAAGCAGGTTTTCCACTGGTGTGGTCATTAATCTTCCTCCTGTGAAACGAGTGGGGGTATCTACCCACGGGGAAGTACTCGATGCTCGTGTCCCATGCCCTTTTCCTGCATATTGCTGCTTTTGTGCATGGTGCCTTCAGTGCTGCTGCTGCTTTTTAAACTTGTTGTGGCTGGAGAACGTAACTCTTACTCAGAGCATGTGTTGCAAAATAGATGGTAGCACAAGTACCAAAGTAACATGAATAGATTGCAGGAGCCTCCGAAGGGAGAACGCTCTGTATGCTCATGCTGAGTGTAGGAGTAGCTTGAGCACAACTCAGTGAAGAAATTGTTGGTCTGAGTTCACACTTCATCTGTGGCTGCAATAAGTAATGCCAGGTATCCAGAGTGGTATGACAGTAATCCTTTCAGGGACTTGGGGTTTTCTCTGTGAATTCTCCCAGTCCAGTGCTGAGTGAGAAACCTGTAACAGCCCTTCTGCTGATGGGGAGCCGTGTGCTCGCTTTGGGCGGACCTCTCCTCTGTAGCGTGTGGCAAAGAGTGAGAAGCGACATACATAGTTGCTGCTTTGACCATTTTGGCCTCCATTGCACACGTGCTGCACCTGGCGCCATCATGTCACCTTTTGCATGACCCTCAGCACGGGACCTTCTTGCTGCCCCTGAACTAGAGCAGGACCCCAGCAGGTAATCCCAGCTTCCCCATACAAGGGGAAGGGGGCCTGGAGCTGCCCCCAGACTGGTCGGTGCTGTGACATTGCTCCAGTGCCTGCCTTGGGCAGTCTTGGTGGTGCTGGTGTGGCTTGGCTCAGCCCTCTGCTAGGAATGATTCATGGAAGGGTAAGAAAGAAAACAGGGAGGTATGAGAAAGGATGGAAATGGCTCTGAAAACTATCCATCAGGCTGGAGCCTTCTTGTCACTATTCCACCTTGTCACTATTGTGCTGAAGGTCCTTTGCTGCCTGTCCTTCAGAAAGCACTTCTGTGATCTTCCTTGGTGGGAGCTGTGCATGATCCTGGCAGCTATTTGAGCAAGCAGTGGATGTGCTTTCTCCTCCCAGCCAAAGGAGTGAGCCATGATTTTGGCACAGGCTTCTCCTAGAGCATGGTGGGGAGGGCAGGTCTTGAGGTGCTGCTTGGAGAGTGGGCGATATTCCTCTTAAATTTGGGTAGTGGGGCCTGCAGAGGCCACAGGTTCGGTGTCACAGGCTGTGTCTTGGTCAGGACTGAAGTGGGGCTTCCCAGGCACATGCTTTGGGGCAGACAACCACCCAGCAGCTCTTACATAGGGGAGTATCAAGATAGGTGAGAAGAAGCATTGCGTGAGCTGTGCTGCCCAAGCTGTGCCTGGTCATTTGTTCTGTCCCTCCCAGACTCTGTGTGGTTCAGAATTGGTTTTGGAGGGTTTCAGCGGTCACTGTGAAGCAGAGCAGAGGCTGCTCTGCACCAACAGGTCTGGGGGCTCTTGCTGTAGCTCCCCAGTTCCTTGTTTCATTCCTCTTGCCTCAAGGAGGGCTGTCTTCATCTTTCCTTGCATCTGTGATCATAAATTCCCTCAATTAAGAGGAGAGCAAAGGATTTTTAGACTCAAAAGATTGATTTGCTGCGTAGCAGTCCAGAAAGGGTTAGAACCAGCTGAATTTGGAGCTCTGTGTTTTGAGGGGAGATGCAACAGTGGAAAGTTCTTTCCCTGGAGCTCCTGGCCAGCAGAGGAGCTGTGCACATGCTCCTGCTTTGGGGTCCCCTGAGGACACGCTGAACAGCAGCTCAGAGACCCACAGGCCCACGAGCTGGTTCTTCTGCTGTTGGAGCTGCAGGGGATAGAGCAGTCTCCTTTGTGGTGGCTTGGAGCTCCTGTGTGATCCCAGGCCCCAGAAAGGGCCTTCCAGGGCCTGTGACCGTGGGGAGAAGGTGCAGAGTTTGTCTGCGGTCTCATGGCACTGAACACTGGTGATTCTCAGCAGCACCGTGGCGAGGTGGTATGAGGGCTGGGGCGGGTGGGGGCAGGCATGGTGTGTGTCTGCCAGTCTGCACTGCATGTTTGCATGGCTGCAGTGACATGCTTTCATCCCACCTCTGTGAACTAATTGCTCTTTCTTCCTTTCTGTGTTTTTTCTCTACACTCTCTGTAGCTGCCTGAAAATGCTCAACTTGTGGTGAGTCCCTCTCTCCAGTCCACATGCAAGGGGGAGCGGACCAGACTAGACTGGGGTTGGCAAAATCCAACCAACCAATCCATAAACAGGCACAAGCTCAGTGCCAACCCAGGGCAGTTTGGGTTTAGGACCCTGCTGAGCGCTTCTTGGGGAGGGTGCGGGCCGAGTCTGAGGGCCGCGTGAGGCCCAGCAGTCAGACGGATGGCTGAACCAATCCGTGCAAAAGACAAATTCTCATCCTTTTCTATTCGGCTTCCCATCTCCCCCAAACTGTAGTGTCCGTGAGCAGATGATGCCTAATGGAGCTGGGCAGACTCGGGAGCAGGCTCGCCTAATATCTTGCAGGACTTCCTCGCACAGATATGAAGGGAAAGCCCTGCTCTGGCGTGGAGGGGAGGGAGCAGTCGCTTCCTGGGAGAGTTCCTACAGAGAAGCACAGCCAGGGCCCGCAGTGAGAGAGGGGGTATAAAGCAGTGGCATTCATTAGTGACATTAGTGACAGGCACTAATGACAGAGCCGCAGTCTTCAGGAGATGGCCGCTTTCCCAGCAGCAGGCTGAGGACTGGGGGAGCACCGCAGCTGAGCTGGCTCTCGGGGAGAGCCCATCCAACCCTCTGGTTTGGGATCAGCATCGCTCCGGGCCCAGCTCCTTTGTACGTACCGTTCATCAGGCTCCCGAAGCTGCAGTCCTGGCCCCGAGGAGGCTGTGATGCGTTCCCTCCCTCCCGTCCCCTCTGAGGCCGGGGCTGCGATGTGCATCCAGCATCTCCTTGAGGCCCAGGAGGCACTCTGGGGTGGGTGGGAATCTTGCAGAACAAGGTGATGCCTCTGTGGGTCAGGAATGTCCTTGCTTGATGAGAGACTTACCCGCCTCTGCCCTGCTCTCCATAGGCATTGCCTCCAATACCTCTGGCATCTCTGGCTTTTCTGTATGTCGTAGTCTGGGGCTGTTCTCTTGGGCATTGTCTGCATGCACAGAGATCACATTCTGTAGTTGTCGGCCTGCCTTATCCTTTCGTTTTGGTGTTCTGCCTCTGCCTGTCTGACCTGCCAGGACTTCCTTTCCTGAACCCTTCCCTGGACCTCTGAGTAACACCCTAAAAAGACGTGAGTCTCAAGGGACCACAGCCAGTCAGCCAGCTCCCTCTGTACAGTGCCCAAGGAAACGAGTGCTTCTCAGCCCTCTTCTCTCCTTCTTCACCATCTGCATGTGAAATCATAACTCGTGCATTGTCATCATCTCTCCCCATAACCATCCCCTCCCTTACTTACCATCACCCATGTCATAAAGGAAGGTGGCTGCCATGGGAGGGAAATACTGCTGTAGGTTAAACCCAGAGAGGGCAGCAGGAGGACTGGGGCAATAAAATGCACCACCAGTCTTGGAGCAGGGGGTGAGAGTGCCAGTAGCGTGCAGGAGCCTGTGCTGGGTGCAGAAAGCTTCAGAGCATGCTGTGAGTGTCACAGGGGGTCCTGGGGATGGAGTGCTCCCAGCTGACAGGTTGCTCTGGGCCTGTGTTCCTGGAAGGACAAGCGTGTCATGGTTTTTCTCGGCTCGCCTCCACACTGGGCCTGCTATGAGCGCCTGAGAGGAACCCAGAGCCAGATCGTGACGTTGCACTTCCCCTGGTAACACGTCCCTGCAGGAGCGTGCCATGGGCAGTTGCCCTCCCGCCGCTGTGGCTTTGAGCTCCATGTGTCACAGGGCTGCAGTCTCCCAGCAGACAGTCAGTGCTGGCTTATGCGGTGGTGTCAGCCACGGTGGCTTCTGCGCCCCGAGGTAAGGGATAGGCTCCTCCTGGGGTGAAGGAGAGCGTGAATCTGTTCCACCAGAGGAGCACAGTGCTGACATCTCGGAGCTGCGGTGGACCCCACCGAAAGCAGTGCGGAAGTGCTGTCACAGTGTTTTCGAAGGATTTGGGTCTAGCCGTTGGTTAAAGAAGCTTGTAGGAAAAAATGGTGTTTGCATACTTGCGCTGCTTCGCTTCATGCCTGTTCTGCAGCCTGGAGAGGTGGGCTTTCCATGTCTCTCCAGAGATGGCTGTAAATGGCAGAAAGATCCGTAGCTCAGGAGCAGAACTTGCACAGAAGTAACACGTTTCCTCTGTGCAGAGGGGTTCCTGGTGAGGAACAGGCTGAGGGTGGGAAGGCAGACGCACCTCTAATGCCCAGTCCCTCTGTAGGAAGGCAGCAGGGCTAGGAAGCCTGGATTCGGTGCGATGCCACCAGTGAAACCACCTCTGCTGGAGGTTCAGCTGTGCTGAGCGTTCTTCCCTCCACCTCAGTCTCCACTCTCCATCCTTTTGCTTCTCCTAATCCCTGGGCGCTGCGCACCTCCCTCGCCTTAGCAGAGGGGAGAAGCAGGTGTTCTGCACCAAGTAACACTTTATCAAAGGTGGAAGCTCTGGGTATCGTGAAAGGTTCAGTAAAGGAACCTGGTCCCTGATCCGAGATCTCTTTGGCACCTGTCTTTTTAGTGGGCGGTGTTGAACCCGTGTGTCTTGTAGCCGGGGAGCACAGCCAGGGCTGTCCTCGTGCCCTCCGGACCTCCCCCAAGGTCTGGCCATCTGGCTCCTTGTCCCATTGCTCCCCACGTGGCTCCTGGCGTTCCTGTGCTGGTCGAGCCTCTAGAGGAGGGAAGGGCCATACCCAGCCATCCACTGGCAGCGCCCGACCCCCGGCCCATGGTCTGGGCACGGCGGCCATCCACGCGCCAGCCGCTGCCGACCTTGTGGGCAGGTCCCCGGGCTGGGGCCGGGCGCACGGAGCAGCCGGTGCATGCGGGGGGACGGCAGTGGGGCTGCGCAGGGCTGACTGGCCTTGTTCTTTGTGCTCCAGGTGCTGCTGCTTCTTTAAGAGGAAACGGAAGAAGACGGCTCAGCGTCACAAGTGACCGGTGCCTCCTGGGCCTTGCAGGAACACCACGTGCACCTGCGGCTCCTGCCCTGGCTAACTGGAAGGGGCTTCTCTTTAGGGGGAGGAGGAGGCATAGGAGGAAGAGAAAAAAAAAAACACAAACAAGTGACATTTTAAACCAAAAAGAGAAGAAAATGTTCCAAAACAAACCACTCTCGGGTGGATCTGCTGAATGGTCTCCCTCGTTCACTCCAAGCCTGATGCTCCTTTTGGGACCAGGACTGTGGCTGGCTCAGGTCTTGGTCGCCCCGGGAGGGGGGCTGGCTGGCTGACCCTCCTTCCCGTTGTTTACGGCGAAGGCATCGTTCATGCAAACCTGAGGACTGTGCTTAGTTCCTGCTCACTTTACCCCCCTCCCTCCCCTGCGCTCTCTGCTCCTCCGCCCTCCTCCCTCCTTAATTAAGAAACGAAGCACCGTAGGCTCAATTGGCTCTCGAGAGGGCAGGAGGATGTGGTCGGGGCGCGAGAGTTGCGTGGGAGAAGGGCCTGACTGCTGCAGCAGTACGACACAGGTTCCCTTTTAGGCTCCTTGGGAACAGTTACACTGTAATGTGCAAGCTGTGAGAAATTTGCAATCTACTGTTCCAGTTAGGTTTCCTGGCTCCCCTTGACACCTCCCTCCTCTGACGGTAACAGAGCAATGTGGATTGTTTTAAAGAAACTGACGTCGTTGCACTTTTTATTATTTTTAGCATTACAGATGCACATTGTATCTGTGGATTTCTGCGTGGACCAGTGGTGCAAGCGCAGACAGACATTCAGCTGGGAACGTTGGGGTGCAGAGTGCCCTCGAGTGGGGATGTTGATGACATCCACACAACCCTTGTGCCAGTTTGGGGTTCTCGGAGCCCGCCCTGGGCCGTGCGCTGAGGAAAGCATACTTGAATTTTCAATCACCCTTTCCAGCTGCCAGTGAATGTCCCCACCATGGTTTCCTACACCGTGCCTGACCCAAGCAGCCCACAGACATGTTGGCAGCAGAGAGAGGCAGATCAGGGTTAACATAACTGGGAGCTGGTGCTTCCCAGACCGCAGGCATCTCAGTGCAGGGCCAGGCAAGCACGCGGCCCTCCCCAGCCTTCCGGTAGGGTGGTTGTGAACACGCACCTTCCCTGGGGAAGTGTGAGGAGCAAAGCTTCCCAGGCAAAGTGGCAATCCTTCACTGCCTTAATACTGATTTCATCTCCAGATGGTCGGATGGCTTTGACTGGAACAGCCTTGACGTCCTCCCTGCGAGCTCCCAGCCCACGGGGAAGCCACGGTTTGCGTGCAGGCCAAACACACAGCTAGCAGCTAGCAGACATGATGGCTTGTGTCCTGCTGCCACGCTTCCCAACCCGGAGGAGGCTGAGGCTGCTCCTGGACGTGGCAGGGCTGTGGAAGAGCTCAGGCAGTTTTGGGGGAGTTTGTGAATAAATAGATGCTCGTGCTCTGTGTTTCCATGTGTGCCATCTGACTGCACTGCAGCTGTTCGCTTGAGGGATTTCACTAGCTGTAAACATGGGCTTGTGCTCCCTGGGGAGTACAGAAGGAGGAGAGAGAGACGAGACCTCACAGCCTGTTGCGAGTGATGAGCTGTGGGCTGGGGCTTGTGGCGTGGCACCCCAGGAGCTGCAGCTCCCTTCCCCGGCAGCCGGGCCGGGCGTTGCTCCTCGTGCTTCCTCGAAGCAGGTGTGAGGTCAGCACAGGAAGGCATTGCTTCTGTGCCAGGATCCCTCCGGGCCATCCTTAGCCATCTTTGCCTCTTGATGCCTTACCTGCTGGAGCGCGGCTGTGAGCGTGGCCGCTCCTCCTGTCCCCAGCAGCCCCTCACGCTGCAGCCTGGCTCACTCTTTGCTTGCACATCCTCTGGGAGCTGCACACACCCTCATTCTCGCTCTGCAAAGTGCTTTCCTCGGGGCACACCGCAGGCTGGGGCAGGGATGGACCTTCAATCACCTGCACGCAAGAGCCAGAAGGCACTTTGTCTCTCTTCCCCTCTTGCTGGAGGGAGGACAGGGATCAGCCATGTTCCACCCTCCCCGTTCTGACCTCTGCTGCCTCCCTGCAGTTCCGTGTCTCTGGCACAGGCATTCCCCTCTCTGCTGTAGGAAACCATGGTTTGGCATCTTGCGGGGGGAAAGGGGCACAGGCGCTCCCCAGGAGCAGCCATGCGTGCTGCAGATGGAGCTGGGCCTCGAGACACTTCTGTTGCTGCCCTCCCAAGCCCCACTAAGTGCCTGTCACCAGAACTCGATTCCTTCTGCATCTCCTGCCGTGTTTGGTCATTCCTTGCTGCGTCCGCCCCAGGAGCAGTTTGTAGTTGCAGCATCTGTAAGTGTTTGCAGGGTGAGGGAGGGCTGGGGGAGAAGGGGCCATCTCAACAGTTTCTGTTCTTAAATGTTTTTTTTTTTTTTTCCTGTTGTTACTTATTTGGTTTTCTGTTTCTGTTTTTTTGTTTTGTTTTTAAAGTGAATGTATTTGATTGTTTAGAAACTTTCCTGACCTTGTTTTTAAATGGGTTGGTTGGAAAGCTGTTTCACCACGACCCGCTCTGCTTATCTCTGGAGATACGATGTTCTTTTAATCCTATGATGATGTGTTTGTAGGGGAGGACGGTCCCCCCACGGCATGCTGGTAATGCTCACTTGTACCAAGCCCTCTTGCACTATAATCGTATGTTGGACTCTTCGACAGGGCAAAGGTGGTGGTTTGTTTTGTTTTGTTTTGTTTTTTAAAAAAAAAGGAAAGAAAGCAGGTTAACAGCAAGTCCTGTGTGTGAAGATCCGCCATCCCAGGGATGGGAGGGGAAGAGAGCTGAGCCGGGCCGAGCCGGCTGCTGCGTGCCGGGCAGCAGGCAGTGCAGCCAGCAGGGGGAGCTGCGGCCCTGCTGGGAGAGCCGGGCGGGGGGTGCCGGGCAGTGCCCTGCCAACAGTGCGATGCAGTCTTCTGAGGCGTCAAGTGAGACTTTTTTTGTTTTTTTTTTCAATAAAACATTGCACTGCTGCATTGTTCTCCATGAACAGATGTGCTTATTTCCCCCTCACCAGAAACACTGCTTGGTTAGATAATGTTTCCTTTCCCTCTGCTTCTCTTGGGCTCTCTTGATAACCCTCCCTTCTCACTGGACCTTCCTAATGCTTTGTGCTTCAAAGCCACGGGCAGCTCAGTCCCACAGCAGTGGTGGCACCCATTTCTTTTCTCTCTGTGCCCCTACGTTCCCACCATAGCCAGGGATCCATCTTGGGACTGGCACTCTTGTACATCCTCATCAGTGACACAGATGGTGGCACCGACTGCACCCTCATCAGTTTGCGGATGGCACTGAGCCGAGCGCTGCGCTGGATACGACAGGAGGAAGGGATGCCATCCAGAGGGAGCTGGGCGGGCTCACAGAGCGGGACCACGTGAACCAGGGAGGTTCTGCAAGGCCAAGCCGGGGTGCCGCACTTGGGTCGGGGCAATCCCAGCTGTGAGCACAGATGGGAGAAGGTCTCACGAGAGCAGCGCTGCGGAGAAGGACTCGGTGGCTCTGGTGGATGAAAGCCACAGACGAGGCAGCAGCGTCCATCGGGGGCCGGAAAGCCACCGGCATCCTGGGCCGCACCAACAGAGGGGTGGCAGCGGCAGGGAGGGGACCGTCCCCTCTGCTCTGCCCTCGTGAGGCCCCAGCTGCGGTGCTGCGCCCAGGCCTGGGGCCCCCAGCGCAGGAAGGGTGCGGAGCTGCTGGAGCGGGGCAGAGGAGGCACGGAGATGCTGCCAGGGCTGCAGCACCTCTGTATGGAGACGGCTGAGGAGCTGGGGGTGTTCAGCCTGGGCAAGAGAAGGCTGCGGGGAGACCTCAGTGCGGCCTTCCAGGACTTGAGGGGAGCTCAAAACAGGAGGGAGAGCGGCTCTGTGCGCATGGCAGACAGCAACAGATGGGACGAGCGGGAACGGCTTTAAACTAACAGAGGACCCTGAGGTGAGGTGTGAGGAGAACACTGCGGGCACAGAGGCGGCGAGGCGCTGGCACTGCTGCCCAGAGCTGCGGGTGCCCCATCCCTGGAGGCGACCAGGACATGGGCGGCCCCGGGCAGCCCGCGGCAGGGCTGGAGCCGTGCGGCTGTGAAGGCCCTTCCATCCCGCCGTGCTGGGACTGCAACGCTTCCTTCCCTACCCGGGCAGCAGGCCGCCACCAGGCGTTTCCTTCAGCAGTTGTTTCTGGTGACAAACGCCCGGGTTGGGGCACGGAGCGCGATCCCGCTACGTAACGTCGTGCCGGGGCCGCGGCTGCGCGCACTGAGCGCCGAGGGCAGCCGAGAGCAGAACGGCGCCGACCGCCCGGGGATCCCACCCCGACTTCCGCCCGCTCCCATTGGCCGTGCCCGCCCCGAGCCCGCCCCCCGCCCGGCTTCCGCCCGCTCCCATTGGCCGTAGCTGCCCCGAGCCCGCCCCCCCGCCTCGCGGCCGCCGCGCCCCGTGCCCGCTGCCTATTGGCTGCGCCTCCGCCAGGCGACGTGGCGGCCGCCCTACGGCTCCGCAGCGCCCCCCGCCTCCCGCCGCCGTTGGTCGCGCCCGGGCGTTGAGCGCGGAGGGGCCGGGATCGCACCACCTCTGCCGGGGGGGGGCGGCGGGGAGGGGCCGGATGCAGGCGGCGCGGCGGGCGCTGCGGCCGGGCTGCGAGCGGCGGAGGATGAAGGCTTTGGTGGCGGCGGCGGCGCTGGGCGCGGCGCTCCTGCTGCTGCTGCCCGCCGCCTCGAGGGCAGACGAGCGCAAGAAGGGCCCCAAGGTCACGGCCAAGGTCGGTGCGGGCGGCCGGGGGTCGGGCTGGGCCTCGGTAACCGGCGGGCCGGGGGGGAAGGCAGGGCCTCTGCGAACGGGTGAGCCCCGGCTGACGGCCCCTCCCCCCCCCCAAGGTGTTCTTCGACCTCCGCGTGGGCGAGGAGGATGCGGGCCGCGTCGTCATCGGGCTTTTCGGCAAGACGGTGCCCAAAACGGTGGAGAACTTCGTGGCTTTGGCCACCGGGGAGGTGAGGGCCGGGCCGGGCCGGGCCGCCGCGCGGGTCCGCAGCTCTCCGTGCGGGTGACCGCCCGGTTCTCTGCAGAAAGGGTTCGGCTTCAAGGGCAGCAAGTTCCACCGCGTCATCAAGGACTTCATGATCCAGGGAGGGGATTTCACCCGCGGGGACGGCACCGGAGGTACGGCAGCACGCGGCGCTCCCGGCGCTCCCGCGCTGCTCACGTGGCTCCGGTCCCCCCAGCGCCGGCCCCGAGGAATTCCCGGGAGCGCCGCGCAGCCCGCTTCCCTCCTTTTCCTTTTCTCTTCAGGGAAGAGCATCTACGGGGACCGCTTCCCTGACGAGAACTTCAAGCTGAAGCATTACGGCCCCGGCTGGGTGAGCATGGCCAACGCCGGCAAGGACACCAACGGCTCCCAGTTCTTCATCACCACGGTGAAGACGCCGTGGCTGGATGGCAAACACGTGGTGTTTGGCAAAGTGCTGGAGGGCATGGTAAGGGCGTGGGAAACCAGGGGTGGAGCTGCATGCGGCCACTGTTGTCCCTGTCACACGGCTGCTTTCCCCAGGACGTGGTGAGGAAAGTGGAGAACACTAAGACAGACAGCCGGGACAAACCCCTGAAGGACGTCACCATTGCTGACTGTGGCACCATCGAGGTGGAGAAGCCCTTCGCCATCGCCAAGGAGTGACCCGTCCCAGCGGGCTGGAGCTGCAGGGGGCCCCGTGCCGCAGAGACCGGCCTCCACGGGCTGCAGGCTGCCCTTCTGCCCCATGTGCATTCCCCACCGCCCCCAGTGGCATCCCGGGGTGTGGTTACTGAGCCCCATTCCCAGCCCCTGCCACCTCCCTGGGGGCAAGATGGAGCCCTGCTCCACTGTCCAACACTTTTGTAAGAAGCACATGCACCAATAAATGTGACCAATGTGTTTTTTATAAACTTGCCTGTGTTCTGCTCTCTTGAGGGGTCAGCCCTCCTCGCCCCTCACCTGTCTCAGATCAGCCTCCACGCTAGCCCTACGTTTTCTTGGCAGAAACACAGAGCCAGCTTTGGGCAGCACAGCCACAGTGGTTTATTGTTCCAAAGCCCAAACACTGAGGGTTTTTTTTCCAGTTAGGGTTCTGCCTGCGGGGACTCCTACAGCAATGCCATTGCAGGGCGGTGGCTGGCAGAGCTCCAGCTCTCCAAACCAAGGCACGTGGTGTTAGAGAATGCCACCGCAGCTCCCAGCAGGGCTTTGCCCCCCTCCCGTGGAAGGTTTTACTGCCAGGATCCTTGGTGTGACACCACTGCTGGAGGTGGCTGCTCAGGAGCCCAGTTGCCCCCGGGGCACAGCTGTGCAGGGTGGGCAGTGCCATGGGGTATAGAAGCCGTGCAGCACCCCGCTCAGCACGGTGTTGGGGAGCACATCTGCAGGGAGAGGCGCGAGTGCAGCTTTGTGAAGCCCAGCAGCTCAGAGGGCAACGCACAGGGGGACTGCAGGGCCACTCACATCCCGCTCCTTACCCATGGCTGGTGGCCATGCGTAGGGGTCAGTGTGGAAGCCAAGGACGGGCCGCTGGGGGGGCGAGTGGCTGACACTATGGCAGGAGAGGGATGTCAGTGCCCAGCAGCCCCTGTTGGCTCCCAACCCCTGGGGAACCCTGCAGACTCACACAGGGCTGCAGCCCTTGGGCTCCAGCTGGCAGCGCCGCACCTTCAGGAAGTCCAGCACATCCTGGGGCAGTTCCTCATTGTGGCACAGGACGCCCTGGAGTTGGGACAGGGGGGGTGTGCGCACAGCTGGGGCACAGATGCCACTGCCAGCCCCCTGTGTCTCACCTGGATGTAGAGCTCCAGGCCCTGCCGGCGCTGCTCCAGCACCTTGGGCACCCAGTTGGGGACTCGCCGCGGGGGGAAGTCGGGCACCTTGCAGCTCTTCTTGATCTGGGGCAGAGCAGGGGGTGTGGGAGCCTTGGCTGCCACTGTGGGTCCCCAGGGAAGGTCCCTGGCTGCAGACCCCTCCCCCTGCTGGCACCAGGTCCTCACCCGCTTGTGCAGCGCCTGGAACTCGCTGTAACGCTTCGCCACTGTGTGCCGCCGGCCATTGCACAGCACCTCCACCAGGAACACCTGCACCTCCTCATTCTCACCCTCATCCTCCCGGGGCAGGAGCCCCAAACTGCCCCATGGGCACGCAGGAGCCCCCAGGGCAGGGCGGGAAACAGGGTGTTGCAGGGACCAACACGTTGCCCCTCCCTCCCTACCCCCCCCCCCCCCGCCCCTTCATCAGGGTCAGCAAAGCCCCTGGAGAATGTGGGACCACCACGACCACCATACGGGGCAAAAAGGGACCGCTGTCCCCAGGAACAGGTGGGGACCCTTGGGGACAGGCACCACCCCAGGGCAGACAGGGACCCCCCCCCAGCGCCCCTCACCGTGTGTGCCTTCTCAGGGCTGCGCGCCGTCACCTCTGGCTCCGCCGCAGGGATGGAGACTATGATCATCGCCCGCCACCGCTGCCAGCACCGGATGGCCACCGGCTGCTGGGGACTGGGAGAGCCTTGGTGCTCTGCAGCCCGAAGGTAGCACAGGGATAAGAGGAAAGGAAAGTGGGAAGTCAGCACAAGCGCGCTTTTCCCTTTTCTTTCCGTCGCCTGTAAGACTCAGTATCAGTTTTGATCAGCGCTGCTGCAGCCCCAGAGCCAGCGCTGAGGCAGCCTGTTATCACAGGGACGGGGGAGCATCGCAG